GAGTCTATTCTCATCTTGCTCGGTTTGGTCAGGAGCAGGAGCCCATGTGTTTTTGCTGATCGAGTCGAACCCGGAACCCCCAGGGTCTTTTAAGTTGTTTTCATCTGATTGTCGGTTCTTTTGGGGAGAGGCAAACGGGTTGAAGTTTCCTTCTACCTTGCGATGTGGCTGTGTGTTGAACTCCGTTTCAAAAGATGACAGCTGCTGCGTTACTCCTAAAAGTCCACCCACCTCCACACTGAGAATCACCCAGATGACATCTGAAACAAAAAGGCAATTCATGTCAATGACAGGCATACCCTCAAGGTCCAAAGCAGCCACCACCAGAACCCCCAAATGTCACCCAAACCATAGGAAGAAATGTCCTTTTATATGCTAATTTTAGCAAGCTGACAAAGTAGCCCAGTACATTTGCACTGTATGCATTTCTTCATTGTTGGTAATGTCACATTCAAACTCCAGTGCACATTCAGTACAGGTCTCTGGTAAGACTCATGAAAGTATTTGTTAAAAGGTTACTAGTTGATTCTGATGCACAGCCATATCTGGAAATCACTGCTCCAGAGAACAATGATCTATAGATAGAAACCTAAAAACTATTTTCCAGAATTATAAGCTTTTTGTGGTTTATGCTTTAGCTTGAATGTATGTAACTTAGAAAACTCAAGGCAGGCATAATTCTTGAGCCAAAAAGTACTTATAATTCCTAGAATTGCAACTTATCAAGGATCCCTTCCCCCCATCTCTTTGAGCAATTTAGAGTAACAACATATTGTCCAAACTAGGATAACTGAGAGTAAAGGGGGAAACAATTAATAATGACACCAGGACACATCTGTAAACCAGCACTAACCCTGACTATTAAGGCAAGTATCACCTGGGTTTTCTTTTCTAATGATCTATGTGATCAAAGGATACCAAAAATTTAGTATGTCCCAGGCTTTCTAAAATAATCCAATTTAACACCAACTTTGCCTTTGTCATATAGGGAAACCCCACCATCTACACTGAAACCATAAGAGATTTGTTTTAAAAAGATACACCACAGGACTTTTGGTCATAATTCAGTTATTTCCTCAACTGCCGAAGCTAAGGGTTCAAACAGAAGAATAAAGGGACAGCTTCCTTTGATGTTCTGCACCTCAATTTAGAGAACAGTGACATCAACTTTCCTGCTGGAAATCTTTTAAAAAGCAGCACTACAGAAAGGCCAAGAAGCTTTTAAGTGTAACCCAGCTGAAACAAATGTGAAAAGTTGTCCAAGTCTCCTAAATAACTGCTGAATGGTTGATAAGCAAAGGCTAATAAATTTCATCAGTTAGCTACACAGAAATACAGATAATATTAAGAATAGGAAAAAAAAAAAAACCACCAACACTAAAAATAATAGTGAAAGAAACTGAAGAAAATCCTCTTGGGCCGTGCTTATTCTCAATTTCGAATCTGGGTTTGATATCTGATGAAGGCCATAAATATTCAATTTATGTTCAGTGGTTTGGGAACTCCATTAACAACTTGGTTGCATGTGAACAGCTAGGAGCCAGAACCCTAATAAAGTGGAGATGCAGTGACATCTGCTGTTCACTTCTGGAATTAGCAACTCTGCAGCCACTAGCTGAGCAAGCATGACTCCCAGGAATGGTATCCATTCCAGACACAACTTTTCATGATGGCAAATGTGAATCCTCATGTGAACTAGTGCCACAGAAGCTCAACCTGTTAACACTGTAAGCCAGGATATGCAGCATGCCACTTCACTCGGAAATGTGGGACGGTGCCAGGAATACTGGGTCAGAGGACTTTCATTCAAAGCTCTAAGTCAATCTCATAAACCAACATGACGTAGGCCTTAAAGAACAATTGCAGGCAGCTGAGGGAGATTCATTCCATGCTTTCCCTAGCCTAGCTTTCTAACCAAAGGCAACATCTCTTCACTCTGTTGTTCATTTTCCCCCAATAGCTATGCCCTATCTTACAGGACATTAATTCTTACTTCTTCTCTTTCACCCAAAGTGCATACACACGTTACCCAAAGTCCTTTTGTAATTCCTGATACGTTTCACATACTCAGTTACAGGTCATATGCTTCCTTCACTTTGCTCAGGAAACTAAATGCTTACAAGAAGAGAAAGGACAGTCTTCAGAAGACTGTTATCAGTATATGAGACTAAAGACATTTTTTGCCCTGGCTTTAAGAACTAAAGCTTCTTGCATACAACTCATTGGGCCTGATCATACATAAGCAACTGCACTCTCTCACCTTGGCTATTCTTCTGTACTGCTCACCAATTTTACATAGTAGCTCTAAAGAGAAGGTCATTTAAGAAACCACTGATTTATAAACACCAACAGTGAACACTCCAGTTCTGATCCTCCCAAGTTATTATCATGACAGGTCATCATGAATAGCAAAATATACCTTCTACAGGGTACAGTCTAAGCCATCTAGGTACCACTGCTAGCCCTCATGTTTCAGAATATGTTCATCCCATGCATAGTATGCGTGAATGAATGTGTTATTTAAGTAAAAAGGGTGATAAAAATGGACCAAATAAGCTTGTTTTAGAGAGGATGACCATTTCCAATTCTTCCCAGAATGCCTTAATTACTGAGATAGGAACTGCCAGCCACATATTTTACTATTTGTGATGATAAAATCATAGCTGTAAGGAATCTCAGGGGTCATCTAATGGAATGGCTGCACTTTCTAGATAAAGGATCTGAGGTCTGGAGGTGGAAGTGATGGGCCCAAGATCAGACTTCAAGTTAAAGCCAACTTACATGATGACTAAGAATGCTCAACTCTCAGAATAGCTTTTACAGGGGGGCCTGGGTGGCTCAGTCGTTGAGCGTCTGCCTTCGGCTCAGGTCATGATCCCAGGACCCTGGGATCGAGCCCCGCATTGGGCCCCCTGCTCAGCGGGAAGCCTGCTTCTCCCTCTCCCACTCCCCCTGCTTGTGTTCCCTCTCTTGCTGTGTCCCTGTCAAGTAAATAAATAAAATCTTAAAAAAAAAAAAAAGAATAGCTTTTACAACTCATACTTATTTTTCAAAAAGAACTTGGGAACCAAGAACCTAGGGAACTACAGCTATAGTTAAGTCAGTCCCATTTCCCAGGCCATAGTATCTTTACCCACATATAAGATCTTCGCTACCAATAATAAGAATGGGCCAACAGGATGTTCTAGAAAAGTAGCCAATAGAGTAGAATCAAGTGCCAAGCCTACACATTCAGGGCTTAGTAAGCAAATTGAGAAACTGATTTTAGAATGTCTTGCCTTAAGATGTTTTTTAAAAAGCACCTGAGCCAGGACTTTGGAACTAAATGGTACTGTAAACAGTTTCATTCAACTCGTCCCTTTTACATATAAAACCTTTAGTAAGTACATAACTTTAATAATAAGTATAAACTTCCTTTTGTAGAAATGTATAATAAATTAAAGAGAGATCATGAACTTTTTATTTCTTAAGTTTAGATTATTAGAAATGCAGAGTAAAAGGAAAATGTTTTGGGGCTCTTGGGTGGCTCAGTCAGTTGGGCATCCAACTTTTGATCACAGCTCAGGTCCGGATCTCAGGGTCATGAGTTCGAGCCCATTAAAAAAAAAAAGAAAGAAAATATTTTACTTGAAGGCCAACTCCATAATCTTAATGAACCATGCTGATGTACAAAGACATCTCAGATTGTGGTAGGAATGTTAAAAAACACGACATATATCCAAAGGCTACAATCACAGATCAAATCACATGATAATAAACAAACATCCATGATTTGTCCACTACAACAGAATTACTAAAAATCAGTACAATATTCAAACTGGTAAATTTGTTTCTCGAGGGGTACATGTATACTGGGGTTGAGTAAGTAAATGAACAGTGAAATGCTGAGAGCAAGGTTTCTCATTGTTAAAGAAGGATATTACAGATGAGCAAGAAAGGAAGGCATTCTAAAATGAACTCTGTGGTACTGGATTAAAGTCAGAGACATCAGTATCAACTCATGTTTATCATAATATATATACAGATGAAGAAACACAGAAACAATGATACGTCTGTTTACAGAGGTTAATATGCATACACACGTTACCCAGCTCTGTCTGCTGAGAAGGCCTAGAAGTAATGATAGCCCAGTAGCACCGAACATATCCAGTGCCCAGTGGTTTCTGAATAGCATTCTCTTAAAAAAAAAAAAAAGTTCCTCAGAGAAATGGCTGATTCTGGGGCTAAAGACATGGAAAATATAAGATGAGTCTGGAATATCAGAAAGTAAGAAAGTGTTAAAAAAAAAAAAAAGGATAGAGTATGTCATAGGGATAGGAGATACCTGAAAGAGCTCCTTCTGGCCAAAGCTGGAATAATTTGGGCAGTAAAATAAATAACATAGTATTAGATTATAACTCAAAGTATAAAATAGATATACATGAGTCCATAGTGACATAAATAAATGACTAAATAAATGGGCGAGTAGAGACAGATTTCTTTACATAAGAACTGCAAATATATGTAGATACTCCCCCCTTCTAAGAGATGGAGTTTAATTTTATATATCCCCAACCTATCCTGAGTGTGGGACAGACTTAGTGATTTGCTTCCAAAGAACAGAACAGAGAAAGAGAATAATAGTAACTTTACAACAGAGAAACTGGCAACCAAAAATTTAATCAAGTGACCAATGTTAATATCATCAGTGACGTTATGTAAATATCAGGTACCCCCTGGTAAGTACTTCACCTCTGCAGTATTCTTCCCCAAATCTGTAACATCAGTCTAAATTGAGGAAAACATCAGAAAAGCTCAAACTGGGGTACATTACAAAGGATACCTGCCAGTATTCCTCCAAATGGTCATGGGTCATGAGAAACAGAAAAGACTGAGATACTGTCACAGATCAGAGGAGACTGAAAGACAAGACAACTACACGTAATGTGGTACCAGAGACTGGATTCCGGGAACAGAGAGAGGTCATGAATGGAACAACTGATAAAATCTAAATAAAGTCTGTGCTCACTTCAGCAGCACATACACTAAAATTGGAACAACACAGAGATTAGCAGGCCCCTGCGCAAGGATGACACGCAAATTCATGAAGTGTTCCGTATTTAAAAACCAGAAACAAAATCTAAATAAAGTTTTGAGTTCAGTTAACAGTAATGTGCCAATGTTGAGGTCTTCATTCTAAAAAGTCTTCCATTCAAACTAGACACATGAGTTCACTCCTATGTGCAACCCCTTCTCAGTACCGCCAGTAAGGGCCAGTAAGGGCCAGTCACTAGTCTTCAGAGGGAACAGCAACAACTATACCAATGAGCCATCATCTTGATGGGCATGTTAGGCTGAAGCTGCCCAATGTCTTCCAGAGCATGCAACTGGCCTGCACAAGTTGCAGACAGCAGTCACTTAAAGAAAGCAATAATCTGCCACATCAATATGTTCCACTTGGGTCTGGGCTTCCCAAGGGAAAGGGCCAGGGGACTTGAGAAAACACAACTTTTACAAATCCAGTTTACAAAGACACCTCAAAGTGGTTCAAACTGTGGCTAGGACTGAAATCTTGTAGGCTTCTGATCCCTAAAGCAAACGCCTTGGGCTTGTCCCAAGGAGTCGTGAGACAAGAATGCCACAACACCAGGAGACACGGCCTGGCTTTAGTCTGCATGCACATGGAAGACTACCATGAAGGTCACATCTAGGTTTGGAGGTGGTAAATTCGAATCCTTCCCAAAGCTCAATGCATCTTCAAAACACAACAGGAACCTCATATTTGCCCTGAGGATTAAGAAACAACTTGGATCTGGAGAGGTATGCAGGCTCTAGTCAACTGCTGAGCTACAACCTGTAGGTTCACATTTCATCTCCATAGGAGGGCTGAGTACATATTGCCTACGTTCTGTGACAGAGGCTTGCCTGACTAGTCTCAACTTCCAGTCTACATTTCCACATTATTTACTCAACATAGAGCTGCCATGACAATGCCCAGGCACTCAGATACTTTAACTTTGTCTATCAACACACCACCTACCTCAGCATCTAAGGGGGGAAAAGGGTAGAGCCAGGCTCCAGTTCATCAGCTGCTCTGAGTGATGGCTGAAGGACTGCCTCTGCTCAAACTCTGTTCACTACCCACCCTCACTCCCCACCCCACCTTGCCACAAATGCATTAGAACCTTGTTCCTTGGTTTCAGTATTATTCTCAGGAATTTCCTTTTAAAATGCAAATGCCCCCAAAGGAATATATTAAGCCACCCTAAACTCATCAAATCAACCACTAGGCAAAATTCACAAAGGGGAGAAGAAAAAGGCCTAAGAAAGAGCAGTGAAAGCCTGGATGAGATGAGATGGTGAAGGCCCAGGTGAGGGGCTCAGAACGAAAAGTTGAAATGGCAACAACAAAGAAACTATTCCTACTTCTCAATTTTCCTGAATCATGCCCTGTTTAAAAAGTATGAGCTTTTAACCTTAATTTGGGGGTAGGTTGGGGGACTACAGTGATCATTTAACCACTTAATTACTTGCTTCAGTCTTAGTTAACAAGAATCTCTACTTCCCAAATCCAGGAAATCTGTGCCATGGAACTGAAAGAGTAAAAACATCTAGATCAAAGATGAAAATCAGCTCAGAATGAAAAAGAAAAAAACCCTACCCTTAACTGGGCTGAAAGGACAGACACTTCTAAAGGCAGGGGCAAAAATAAGAGAAAACATTTCCCCCAAGATCATGCAGCAGCTACAAAATGCTATAACAACCCTCTGAGTGACTACTGCTTTCTTACCAATGATGCCCCCAGACCCATTTTGTTGTAGCATCGATTACTGACAATTGTTAATTGTTAAACTGCCCCTGCCTCAAGATAGCACCCAAACCCTAAATAATTCTCCCTTCTAATCGTGCCTCAGAAATAGCAACCAATCCAAAACTGACCCCCCCATCTCCCTTAGAGCATTCTCAGAATCCTTCAACAGGAACCCAAACCTTACAGAGGCTGCTTCCCTCCTCCCTCTTGTTGTGTGGCATTCCACAATTCCCCTGGAGAGCCTGCCCTCACCGTATTACACCAATAAATTCTGGTTTTGTCAGCCTTCAGGCTTGTTTCAGGTGACCTTTGAAACAAGAAGCCTTCCTCTCTTCCCCCTCCCAGCTGCAACTTCTAGATGCAGAGACTGCACCCCTTCCCACTTCCCTGCAGCACACACTGCCCTGCCCTCTCATGAAGCGGGCCGGCTGGCCCAGCCATCAGCTGATACCACAGGAAAGAGGAAAAAAGAGAGAAGGAATAGCCTCAAGAATAAAGAAAACCCAGGAGTATATGGTGTTCTAGAGCCTAGTCACAAGTGTTTCAAGGAGGACAGAGTCATCAATTGGGTCCAGTGTACCTAATAATTCAAATACAGTTGAGAAGTGAGAACAAAGCTTTGGAGGTAGGATCATGTAGGTCACTGGTGTTTTGAAAAGAGCAGTTTCAGTGGAGTGGTGGGGAAAGAAGCCCGATGGAAAGAATTTGGGAATCCAGAAATCAAGAGGTGGAGATAGCCATTACTGATTCAAAATTTTCCAAGGAGTTTTGCTATGAAGGAGAGCAGTGAAATGGGGAAGAAGCATATATGCTTCTTATATAACAGCATTATATGTTAGAGCAAGAGATTTTTAGAAACTTGAATGTCCATCAGTAGTGACTGGCTAGAAAAATGATAACACGTCTACCTAAGGGGATACTGTACAGCCATAAAATGGAATGAAGATTTCTAGAGCGATCTCTAGAATATATTATTAAGTGGGGGGGGTGGGGGAGTAAGATGCGGATCAGTATCTATATAGTTATGATACTTTTGTGTAAGAAAAGGATCAAATACTGGCTAGTATTTGCAAGACAAAGCAAAACAAACACTGTACAGATAAACCATAAATGAATAAATAAAAATGGGTATCTGGCTGAAGGAGGCAGTAATGGGGAGACTCCTCTAAATATATCATTAGTAAATTGTGACTTAGGAATAGTAGAAATGCCTTAGATACTGAAAAAAACAACAAAAAGAAAACAAAGACAAAAAAACCTAGGTCAAAGGGAGACAGTAAGAACTGGAGATAAATTTTGTAGGATGGTGATTGGCATAGGATAGGTGCACAATAAACAGCAAATTATTTATGCACAACTACTTAGCACCATTTAAGTAGTGTTAAAAAACAAACGAAAAGGGACGCCTGGGTGGCTCAGTCGATTAAGTGTCTGCCTTCAGCTCAGGTCATGATCTCAGGGTCCTGGGATCCAGTCCCACATGGGGCTCCTTGCTCAGGGAGCCTGCTTCTCCCTTTGCCTGCTGCTCCCCCCGCTTGTGCTCTCTCTGTCTCTGACAAATAAATAAAATCTTTAAAAAGAAAATGTTTACTGTGTTGCCCTGTTGGAAGTCAGTTAATGTTAAGAGTAAAGTCTGATGACTGGCTGTGTCTAACTATAGCTGAAGGACTGTAACAATAACAGTAAACAAAGAGCAGAAAAGACCTCCTTACCTAGGCAAGTTAACATTTAATGCTGTAATTTAAAAATCAATTACTTTGATAAGATTGGGCACTAACTTGTCAGTAAACACCACCTGCAGTATGGAAGACAACACAACAAAACAGTAACCAGTTTTCAATCATATTACTTTACAGCGGTCTGCTCTGCAGACTACCTACATCAAGATCATGTGGCTTGCATGTGAAAAATACAGATTCCTGGGTCCCTAACTACAATGAACTAAAATAAGTTTCATATATGAAATCTAAAAGTTTAGGATACCTATAAGAAAGGTATATAACCATTAACTTTCCCTCCTCATTCATTAGTTTCACTGAAAGCAACTAGAGCACCAACTCCTTCCTCTAAAAATTGGCAACTGAAGGTAAAGAATTAAGCATTTAATCTAGCCTTATTATAAAACTGAATTTCAGAATGTCATTGTTGATGAAGAAAACTTTTTTTTATTCCAGAACTATACCAGCTAATGTATATGGAAGAAATAATCACTTTGTAACCCCTGATGAAATGATTCAGGCAATAATCATCAATGAATGAAACCATTAGGAGAAAGGTTGGTTGACAGGGAGGATCTCTGCAATGGAGGGCTCAGGCTATCACTACTTGAATCCTTTGATTGCTCTTAGCATCACTAAAGCTCTAACAATTTTCAGTAGCCAAAACAATTTTGAAAAAGAAGGAAGCTGCAAGTCTCACAATTCCTAATTTCAAAATTTATTATAGCACTACAGTAAACAAAACAGTGTAGTATTGTTAAAAAGATGTACAGACCAAGAGAAGAGAAGAGAGAGTTCAGAAGTAAACCCTCACATATATGGTCAACCCTCACATACATGATTTCTGACAAAACAGGCAAGGCCATTCAAAGGGGAAAGGACAGTCTTTCCAACAAATGATGTCAGGAAAACTGACTATCATATGCAAAATAATAAAGTTGGACACTTACCTCATACCATATATAAAAATTAACTCAGAATGGGATCAAAGACCTAAACATGACAGCCTAAACTATAAAACTCTTAGAAGAAAACAGAGAGGAAACTTCATGACATTGGATTTGGAAATCATTTCCTGGATTATGACAAAAAAAGCACAGGCAACCAAAGAAAAAATAAATTGGACTACATCAAAATTAAAACTTTTGTGTATCAAAGGACACAATTAACAGTGAAAAGGCAACCCACAGAATAGAGAAAGTATGTGCAAACTGTATATTTCATAAGGGGTTAACACCCAGAATACATAAAGAACTCCTACCGAAAAAAAACCAAAAACCTGGGGCACCCGGGGGTTCAATCAGTTAAACGTCTGCCTTTGGCTCAGGTCATGATCCCAGGGTCCTGGGATCGAGCCCCACATCAGGCTCTCTGCTCAGTGGGGAATTTGTTTCTCCCTCTTCGTCTGCTCCAACACCCACTTGTGCTCTCAATTTCTCTCACAAATAAATAAAATCTTTAAAAAAAAAAACCTGATTGAAAAATGACTTGAATAGACAAGCTGAATGGCCAAAAAGCACACGAAAAGATGCTCAACATCACTAATAATTAGGGATACCACGAGATACCACCTCACACCCATCAGGACGGCTACT